ATGAAATTTATGAGACTTGTGAAATATTTCTGTCTGAAATGTAGGTTCAATTGGAGATTGGATGATGTCTTGATTTGAATTAAGCGTGCTGCATTCCAATATGGAACAAACTTTTAGACAAATTTTCATTGAGATTCGAACTGATTCCGTTCATTGAAATCTTTAATTTCACAATAAATCATAAAGTCAACGTCTGGCTTAAATTACATTATCATATCCATCAAGTCATCATCAATCCATAAACCTTTTGAAAATAAATGAAAGTGTTAAGCACATACTCGCAATAATATGATCGTAAAAAAATGCGTGGATAATTTAATGGACAACAAATTGCTTGTTGCAGAATATTGGCACGCGATATAGCATCTTCCCTTAAGCCTGATGTCTTACACACATGTATATATGAACAATTAATTAAGATAATTGAAACCATGTGTCGTTTTGGGCTTCAAGCCATTGATTCATCGTATGCCAAGGTAAGAGAAGAAGTGCGCGGCGTAAGAAAGAAACGGAAGGAGAAAGAAACAAAAAATATAATAATAAAGAATGGTAGTGAGGTACAAAAGGAAATCTTTTAGGTGAAAAAAAAGCATCGACTGTAATTTACAATTATTTATGTGTGTAATTTTTGTGGATCACTTTACGTCGAGTGCTCCCCGACAAATGATATAATTATTTTTGGATAATGGATAATTTGATAGCTAATGATCTACACCGATCCGTCCGGTATGACTTTTCAAGTACGCGCATCCAATCATTCAACATCCCAAAAATTAAATTAATTAAATATATAGTTTTTACCGCTCGTTCAAATGATGAGATTTTTTTATGAATGAATCGTGCTTACTAATACTCGAGATTATGCTGTATTAAAGTTATTGACTTCTGTTTGCTTTTTTTTTGGACATTCATAAAAAACTTTATTGAACGAAAGAGAATAGCTATAGTAATAATAGTAAGAAAGTAATAAGATAGATTGCAATCACAGAATTATTCTATAATATTCATTAAATACAGACATTCCGGTAAGAACTTTCATTCATTACACAAAAAAGCTAGGATACGTGTGTGTATAATTTACGATTCATTAATGAATGGAAACACTCTTTTTGATGGCAAATTAACTCTATTATAAAGAAAAAGACAGAGAGCGATAAAGTGTAAAGAAAAGACTGAATAAAATAATATGTAAGCAATAGCGGATTCCTTTTCAGTTCAATACAAAAAAAAATAAATTTATTTGTAAAGATCCCCAAAAGTTTATGGAAAATAAGACAAAAAAAAATCATTCATTTAAGAGATTAATAAATTTCGTATGTATATGAGGATTTCACACAGCATACACGTGATATTTCGCAAGACTTGGTGAAAATCTAACGATTGTAGGTAGTCGATGTCGCCTCGATTCTACTCTTTCCTGATAAAACTGTCATAAATACCTATCAAATGATATTTGAATATCCGAATTTGATATTAATAATTAAAAGAGGTCACTATAATGTGGTTGAGAAGCTTAAGCGCATTTTTTGGAGCTTCATTTGATTGCAAATATAGCTTTGACGATTTTTATAAAGATAGAGTTTGTTAATTAACAGGCTTAAAATAATTCAAATTTTTAACGGTTTTTGAAATTTTTGAACTCGATCTCTACGAGGTTTGGTTTCTTTCAATTTCAACTAGACAGAAATCCATTTTAACAAGCACCAATGTTTGTTCATTTTTTGAGCAATCTTTGTTCATTTTGAACAGCTTTGCACCCTTGGTCCAAACTCATCTCCCAGTGCATACATTTCTACAGAGTTTTCCTAGAATTTGATGCGAAAAAATCGCGACAAAAATCATAAATCGCCTTTAAATAATATTTGCTGATTGATTTTAAAGCTTAACCATATGACAAGCCAACCAGCCAACCGAACAAAGTGTCCTACTAAGCTCCCAAATTCAAAAAAAAAGGCTCCATAAATTACCTTAAAATGATAATTAATGCTTTTCATTCAGTATATCGAAATGTATATCACAAAAGTGAAGAAAATCAAATGAGGAAAGAAATTACATATCCAGATATCTAAAAAAAGGCATCACTGACCATCTCTGACAATCCATCTTTAGCATGTAGAAGACGCCGTGCATTATATATTGTAAAATTTGTATAACAAATCGTAGGGGAGATTTTTTTATAACTGATCAATTCCTTTTATGCGATTCTGTTTCTTTCACTGACCTTTTTTCGGATATATTTGTTTTACATATTATAATTTCTTGTTCACATCCATTTCTTTAGTTTATTCATAACCGATGATGATTATTATTGATTTGTATCAATTTATTATTACAATTTTTCTTCTTATTTCTTCATTATGATTCTCTTTATGTTGCTGGTTTTGATTTCGTGATTTAAATTGGAAAATTTCAAAGTCAATTTATAACATCATACATTACAAGTACAGTACATACGAGCACTATCTAGATTAAAGGATGAGCCGAAATTTATATGTGAATAATTTTTTATTAAAACATGTCTAATAATAAGAAGACTTTTGATTGCATAACGGAAGGTTTATGAGCTTCTCGTGAGAATGTTTTTTGAGGAACAATTTATGATCTTCAATTAAGAACTGTTTTTGTGTATTGTGCAAGCTAATAATGATGATAAGAAATTAAAATATTAAAAACAATTTCAACCTTGTGTTAGCAAATTGAGATTTTTTTTCTGCTTGAATTTGATTGATCTGAGCTTCCAAAAGGAGTAGTTTTAGGTATCTAGTTAAGGCTAAGCCTCTAGCTAGAGGACATGTTCGTAGCAAGAGGATAAATTCATAACTTTAGGAGTCTGAATCAGTTTGAATTCTCTTTTGAGACTGAAATTTGTTTGGTTCCTTTCTTAAAATTCAATCTTTTCTCTCGAGAGACAAGATACTCCTCAACTTTCAAAAACTTACTGTTAAGGCTTCTACCTTAATATTTTAACTTGTAAATGACAATATAAATAAGAGTTAACTTCAGATTTCAAAAGAAAAAGCAAATCCTAAGCCAACATCTTACTCATCCAAGTCAGCAGCAATCTAAAACGACAAAAGAATGCTTCTACGTCAACCAACATCATTTGAAACGCTATGAAGCTTAATAGTTATCGATTAATAGCCTCTTTTAATATCACTATCTTACTTGACATGTTAATAAGCATTAATCCAATAGTGTCGATAAAGTGTTCAAGTATTTCTCATCCCACTTACTAAAACTGCATTTAAGCATTGCCAACATTTCATCCACATTTCATCACCACGTTATAATCATCATGTTATCGCATACTTATGATAATTTCTTGATAAAAGCTGAAAAAATAATAAGTTTAAGTACATTGACTCATTTTATAATTCTGTTCATTTATAAATCTTACAATATCTTTGGCTTTTTGTTGTCAATGTGTTCTTATCAGTGAATATAATTCACATTTATGAAAAGGTGTGATAAAAGGCGCTTAATTTATTCAAGATACACACTTACTGCTAATAAACCAGAATTGAATAATTTACGTATTCTCTACACATTCGCATTTCATTTTTTATGACGATGACTGTCATATTGTGATGTGAAGAGTGAGAATGATGATAAGGCATAAGTACCTAGTTGCAATAAAATCTCATTTCTCAAAATTCTTTCATTTATTCTCGCAATAAATGTTCTTATTCTTTAAGAGAGACAGACTTTGAACAAATACAAATAAATTTGATAAGTTTGGGGAGAACCATCTGGTTTTTGATGCTGATTTCCTTTAACTTGAGAATTTATTATTGCATGATGAAAGTTTTATTGAGTTTATTTTACGTAGCGACTAGGTTGTTTTTAAAATATTATCACTTGGCGTGCTGTCTTTGAAGTCTTTCTTATTATGATCATTTAGAATAATTTTTAAAGGTATGATGTTGCTGGTGGATGCAACTTTCACAGATCTTATATTGGATGATTTTTGATCAGTTTTGAATGATTTACAGAGTTGCAAACTACAAAGTTAATGTCGAATTTGGCATCTAGAAAACTTACAAGAAGCTATAAATTGCCTTTAAATAGCTTTAATAATATCACGTCACACCAGAGTGCAAAAAAGTTCAAAAAATAAAATTGCACAAAATCTGAAATGATAATAATTTTAGAAAAATTGTGATATTTAAAGTTTTTTCAAATGATTCAAGCTAGAAGCATTCCAAAGATAAGAAAATCCATAACAATAATTCTTGTCTTGTCCTTAATTTTAACCAACTGTATTCAATCTCCAATCAACTTCGGATGAAGATTTAATGCTATAAAAACAAAACTTTCACTAAGATTATTGACCCGTAAATTGAATACAAAGGAAGTGCATCATCCTTGCTAATTTTTGTAAAGAAAAACAAAAGACCACAATAAAAATGCACTTGAGTCATAAGAGCGCCTTAACTAATTGACATCACTCGACTGATAATAACATTTTTTCTACTTTTTTCGCGATATGATAAGGCTTGAAAATATTTTTTTCAATTTTTTGTGATAACCCACCCGAATGAAAATAAAAGTTACGTTTTGCTCGTGACATTTGATTCTCGTGTGACTATTAAATGATCGCTCTAAAAACGTGTTAGTTTAATATAAAACTTCAAACTGTTCGGTTCGGTGACGAGACAAATGCGCTCATCATTAAACTTAATAATTATTAAAAAGAAATAAAATTTTATGAAAAAGCAATAATAAAGAATTATTAAAGTCACAAGTGATTACAATTTTTATTTGTGTGCCTCTCGCTTGATTATTAAAGATTTCGATTCGAAAGTGACTTTTGTGTGTGTGTGATTAATTGACTTTTGCATTAAACTTTGATAGATTAATTGTGGATATACAAAAACTAAACTTATTCCATATTTGCAGTAAATTAGATTTTCGCGACACAATAAGGAATAGTCGCAAATATCAAGCAGAAATTCAAATAATAAAAAAATATAAATAGAAATAATTTCGTGTGTGCCACAATGGAACTGGAAGCTGAACGAATTTCGCCAACATTAACATCGCGTTATATGAATAACTACATAACAAATCCAACGACAGATATCTATCATCAAACTTATGGACATTCTCCACGTCAAAATGTTCAAAGTTTCTATCCGATGGTAGAAAATGATCGGAATTATTTAAAGCGTCATTACTATACAAAGGAAGAGGCTGATAGTGATGAGCGTGATAGAAAATATGAAAAGTTGATGGATCATCATGGACATTATACTCATGCTTATCATACGAATGAGCAAATTTATGACTCATATAATAACAATACTCTTTATCCTGAAAATACGCAAGACGATCGAAATATTGTGCCTGATAATACAGCAACAACAATAATAATGACACCGAATACAAATAGCAATGATAATTATCCGAATAATTCATCACCAGCATCGTCTGTCGAGGATGCATCAGATCGTGTTGCCGACAGTCCAAAAAGTGTCGTAAGTGTTAAGAAAACGAAAGGGCGTGTTAAGATCAAGATGGAATATATAGAGAACAAGTTGCGGCGCTACACAACCTTCTCAAAACGAAAGACAGGCATCATGAAGAAAGTGAGTAGATGATTGTTTTTGTAAATATTATTTTGTCTCTACATGGACAGCAGCTGTAGATTTTGGTCTCTGTACTAATGACTATTTTGACTAATAGGTGAGATTAAAAGAGATTTAACAAGAAATTAATTTTGAGCTCGCGAGACAAGAAGAAAAAGATAATAATCAGGTTCAAGACAACAACAAGTAATTATTCGCTTAGTAATTGTCGCTAAAATCATTATGAAATTTTATTTCTTTATCTTATCGGCTATTTTGTCTTTTTTGCTCACGCACCAAAATTTTTTTCGAGAATGGGGGTCATTCACTAATGACGTAAATTTTTAAATCAGATTCTTGGCGTACCATTCTATAGTATTCGCAAGTATTCGTTCAATCTTTTAGACCCCTCTACTACCCTTATTACTAAACATCATAATCGAATGACCACCGAAACCGATAATGAATTAGAAAAACATAAATCAATTTATATCAACAATAAAGTATGAGTTATTAATGTATTTTCAAGCTAGACTCTCTATCAGATGTGAGATTAAATGTTAATCTAGACCACATATCTCAAAAAGTTTAAATTAATAATAAAATTACTGCAGACTTATTGTTATCAAAATATTTCTTTTTTATAAATTTATAATTTTTCAAGTACATGGCTGAATGACTTGATAAAAGTAAGGAACAATAATTGAATGATTTTTAATTAAGTTTGCAACTGAGAATAATAAAACACGTGTTAAGATGTTTTTGAAGTCTGGTGGCAGATTTGAGAATTTTGTTTTCGCTAATTTATTAAGTTATGAGCACTTTTAAGAGATAATAGTTCATGCTTCAATGGAATGTTTTGTTAATTTTGAATATTTCATCTTTTTAATTTTGAATAATGTTGGGGTATCCTTTAAATCTAAATGCGAAGATTATATGCTATATTTTTGCCACGTGTTAAATATTTTGTCCACAAATGACGTCAGTTTTTTTGATATTTGATGTCCTAATTTAATTGCCGTTTTCTAGATAAATTAGAATTCAATCCCGTATATCTAGTCAAAAAATTGTCGCCAATTCATATAAACTTATGCAACTTATTAATAAACATGATTAAACTCTCTTTAAAAAAAAATCTGCAATATTACTTCCAAAACTGATCATTTAATTAATTTATGGGCATTCACATGTCAACATGATGTCAAAAATGCGATCAAATAGCTTCGTAATGACTTAATTGTTTTATGATACGATTGGATATAAAATATGATCTTGTTTTTATTAAATAATCGTCAAACATATAGAAATAAATTTGCTCAATCAATTGGGCATTTAGTGAAATGACAATTTTGTTGGATACTCAAAGATGGAATGTTGTATTAATTAAAATTGATATGGATTTGGGATATTGTGCAATAGATTTGTGATTTGTAATTGATGAATATTGCAAAATAATTTCATAATGTTCCTTCATGAACCTTACTGCTCTTAACTAGATATCATCCTACGATCATATCTCTTAAGTGGAAAACTTCCAGCTAGATTAGATAAAATAACTTTAAAAAAAAGCAACGTCTTGTAGAAACGTGGAATGTTATTCGCAATAAACAATGACTAGATTTGTTTTGCGGATGATTTATTAAAAGTAAAAGCTTCTTCCCTTTTTCATAAAAGTGTTTGATACTCAAATAGATAGCAATTATCAAGTAGTAAACACTTGAAAACTAATTGACGTCAAATTTTGCCAATTTAGGATCATCAAGTAGTTTGAATCTCTGCCACATGTAAATTCTTGTAAATAGAGAATTCTGGATCATCAATTCTTCTATTAGAGTTGATATTTGCATCATTTGCATTTATAAATCAATTGTTGTCTATAGCCTCTCTTAGAAAGCATCTAAAGCTGTCTCTTTCTTTCTAATTATAAGTTCAAATCTATCTCTATCACCAGCTTCATAAATATTAACCTTAACCATCATAAAACTGCAATAAAAAGCCCGGATGTTAACCCTTCAAAACTCCAGAGATAATCTATCAATACCTGGCGCCAAATATGAAACTTTATCACTTAACTGTCCATTAACTGATACTAAAAGAAGACACAACAGTCTAGTCTACAAATTATGTAACAAGATTCTCAAAATTTAATGCAAATGTGTATTACTCACTTTGTACTATCAATCTAATCTATATTGGGAATACAGCTGATTTAGCATAGACATTTGGAAGCCCACTATTGGGTCACAAATCAAACTGTTTTTCCCTTTTTGAGATTGGAAAGTCAACGAATACGGAAACAGAGGTTAAATATGTAATCAAATGGTGATGAACACCTTAAAAATATTTGCATACGATGTCATGAGAAAAAAGTACAGATTTATTGGCTTAAAGTGACTCAAACTGAGTTACTGTTTACAGCCTGACACCCCTACAAAGCTACATAATGCGAAAAACCCAAAAAAATCAAGTTAATTTCCAAATCCTTTTATCTCAATAAACTAAAGAATTTTTTTGTTGATAAAACCTCAATTTAACTTGACGTAAGCTAACATAAATCAAGTACCAAATTCTTATCTGCTGTTCTCGACTGCCTCTTATCTTATTTTTCTCTTTTTACGTGATTTAAGGATTTTAAAATATTGTGAAATTAATTTTATTTTTCATTAAATTTAATTCCGTACAGGCCTACGAGCTATCAACCTTAACTGGCACTCAAGTAATGCTGCTTGTAGCATCAGAAACAGGTCATGTGTATACATTCGCAACGCGCAAGCTTCAGCCAATGATTACATCGGATGCGGGTAAGCAGCTGATTCAAACATGTCTTAATTCTCCGGAAAATGCAGATGCCATAACGAACAATACAACAACGACAACAATTGTGAATGATCAACGAATGTCGGCAACTGGCTTTGAAGAAACAGAATTGACCTTTGACGTCCAAGAGTTGAGCGAATTACCGGAGAAGCAAAAAGTAAGACAACCATTAGCATATAATCCATCGACATCGCATCTTTCACAACCATTACCATCAAGTCATAGTCATCTCTATACTTTACCTCATCCGACTCAGCATTATGCAAACTCACCACAAACGCATTATCCATCGCCGCATTACTCGCCTCCCTCGCCATCTGTTAATCCACAACACTTTCAGGCACCATCGAATGGTCAATATCCAAGTTATTATGAAAATTCTGGTAATGCTAATGTGCCATTGAGTAGCTATCAGTCTATTAGAGCGCCATCTGTATCAACACCCTCTATACCTATATCACCTCCTTCTAATAGCTCCTCGACTGAGGCTACACGGTAGTTTTTCGTCTTTTTAAAATTTGGTTGGGGTGAGGAATTTGGTGGGAAATTTGAGTTTTTTGGGATTTTAATAATGGAGTAGGATCCACAAAAGATTAGTTTGGAGTAGAATTCGAACCTACAGTCTTTAAAAAATTAGATTTGCTATTCCAAATATAAGTAAGTTTTGCCACGTAGACAAAGAATCAAAAGCAACCGATTTCCCACATGATTCCATAAATAATCACCCCCTCAGCCCTTCCTCAATATTATTTTTAATTCTCGTTAGTTCAATTATTATTATGAAATATTAAAAAGCTTAAAGTTATAGCTTATTAGGGACAAAGCAGAGAGAACTAACCTCTCTCTATAAATGGCCATATTTTATGCATGTAAAAAATAACACAAATCTTAAACTTAAAATCTTTGATGTCGTCGACTTGAATAACTCCTTTAATAATTCAATTTATTAGTACTATATAGATGAATTCTCATGGCTACTTCATGACTTAACAATCGTTATTATATATAAAAAAAAATTAAGAATCTCTAGGGTAAAAAAAAGTAAATTGATGGCAATAAATGTGTGCAAAAATGGGATGCAAAGTGACATATTCATATTCAAATTGTCATGAGTTATCTCACATATTACATTAAGGAGACAGAATCGCATCATTATTTAATTGTTTACTGCTCCTTCTTATTTTCCAATATTTGTTTGTTTATTTGACTTAATTTTTTATTATGTTATAAGCTTAAGATTTTAATTTCATATAGATTAAGAAAACAAGAGAAGAAAATTTAATTTCATTGCATGTTAATTGTTCCGTCCATCATCATCAGCATCATCAGATTATTATAATGTATATGTAGTCTCTGTTATTTTTTTTTGTGTGTGCGCCTGTGCGGCACAAGTCAACAATTTTCAATCACAATCATTCATTCAACATTTTTATTTTAATTGATGATCGCATGACATGCAACCGTCAATATATATTGGGCAATATGTAATGTGTATCTTAAGATAAATTGTTAATGTTTAATGCTTAGTCTTTATATGAAAAAAAATAATAATAATAATAATAATAATAAAAGTAAGTTTTTTTATATTCCTTATAAATCTGTAAGTACGTATGTTTGTTGTGAATGTCCATCGAGATGTCATGTAGCTAGGTAGAATGTAAATTTTTTAATATAAATTTTCTTACGGGTCGTGCGCTTATGAGGTTCATTCAAGAGTGCGGAACTGATCAGTTCTGCATCTTTAGGCTCATTAAAAACTTTTTATTAAGACTCATTCTAACCCTGTGGAGTAAAATACTCAAAAAATTATTATGTAATGAATGGATATCATAAGTGGATGTCTCTTTGGGGTCGTTTGGATGTTATGTGATGCTAAAAAGTAGTTTTATTAAGGGCATAATCCTTATTTGTATCCAAATTTGTATTAAGCATGCACAAAATAAACAATTAAGACTGTGCTCGATGTCTAGGGTTGTATCGAGAGCTGGTACCTGCAAAATATTGTTGTAATATCCAAGCCGACTCAGATGTTCCTGAAAAACCGACATCCAATGTGAATCCAAAGGTACAAATCTGATCAATTACTTTCAATCAATTATGACCGATTCCATAACTTTGAAAGAATCAAGGTTGTCAGGTTTCATAGGTTCTGGTTGAATCAAATCTCAGATAACCTCAAAAGTGTTATATAACATCCAAACAACCCCAATCCAATAATATAGAATGCATAAAGAGGAACTTTTTAACATTTAAATGTGTATTGTAAATTGTGTGTATTTATTATTTAAGTACTTGTGCTATAATTAACAACAAGGAATGCTCTTTCCCTTTCGATTGTGAAGTGAACAAAAAAAGACGAGTGAATAATCTTCCTCGACATTTAAGTGCCAATAAATACCGACATTATGCCTAAATTTATGTATTGTGTGTAATTTATAAATATAAAATTTATAATTTCATTTTATTGAGCTTGCGGGTTATGCGAAAAAAAGCAGTTAATGGAACTTAAATTTAGGAACAGATTTTAGCTAATGCGTCAAAATTGTCTTAACATTTTGATTGCTATTTAATGTCTCTTTTGACCTTGGGTGATTAAAGAAGATGAGAGTATCCTTAGGCTGTAAATTGAAGAAATTGTTTTTGTGAATTTATTGTTTTGAAACTTAATGAATTAATTATGTGTGTGCGATGCTGTTTTGAGAAGTTTATTGGGATTTACCGATTTTTATGGAAGTGACTGGATTATTGAAATCTAGTAATGCTAGTTCATAACACTTTCCCAAACCAAGTTGGACCAAGTCATACCAAGTATGTAATATAAGTGAATTAAGGCATTCCTAGTATTTAATATAGTTGACTACAAACAATATTAAGTTGTAAAATTTAAAAATTTACTTTCAAAACGTAAAGCTAGCAACATTTGGTTCCATAGTTTTTATGATCTTCGAGTCAATTCAAAGTAAATTATTTTTTCCAAAAACTTTTATGCTTATAACTTGATCTTGACAATAAAAAATCTCAAAAAATGTATGTAATCTGACCATCTGTTCATTTTAGTTTTGAGAGAGCAGACACAGATTTTTTGAGAAATTTTTTTTTCGTGACTTGAACAAACTTAAATTTCCAATGATTTTTCATTGACAATCTGGTGTGTTTTATGGTTTTTAAGGAAAGCTAGACTTAGTTTAAGGAAGTTTCTTAGTGGTTTTGTAACTTCACTGCTAGTAACCAAAAAAATTGAAAAATGTTTTAATCAAGCTGATAGCAAGGCTGAATTCATATTCAAAGAGACGATAAATAATTCTTAGATTAGCAACTGATTTTAAAGGTTCAATTCCTGCCAATTCCCCAAAAAAAATTCAAAATCAATACAGCTAAGTATCTTATTAATTTCAATGCTAACCGCTAACCATCCACATAAATCCACAAACTCAATATATGCCTCAAAATAGTACCTTGTGAAACTCCCAACATCAACTTTTTAATCTCCAAATCAATGACAATTAATTCATATTTAACCATCGATTTATAAAAATTCTTCAAAATCAATTTCCACCTTTTTTAAATTATAAAATAAATTCAAGCAGTAACTCAGATTTTACAATTTACATGCCTACAGACTTTAGAGGAAGTCTTCTTTAAAATATACGCATCTTTATGAGAATTAAAAGAAAAAGATCTTCAGTGGATCTTTACAAATTTTTCTTTCTTTTTTTCTTGTGGATTTTTTTTTGTTGTATTTAAAGTCATGATCAACAAAAGAGACGAGAAGAAGAGGAGAAAGAGAGTGAGAAAGAGCTTTCAGCTCGAATAGTAAAAGAAACCGAGCGAAAAATTTCATCCGAAAAAAAAGCCAGCAAAAGAAAGAAAGAAAAAAGTTATGCGATAACGGCTGAGTAATTTATGTTCGTTTCCTCCTGCACGCCTACGCAAAATTATGATTTTTCCGGAAAAGTAAACTTTGTTGTCGCGTAAAGTTTATTAATATCCAAAACTATGGGGGAAAATGTGGAGGCATCAGCGAGAAATTATTAAAATATTGAACATGTGTAAAATTCCCAAATTTGGAATTGTTTTTTATGCTTTTTTTTCTTCTCTTGTTGCTTATGCCTTCATATTCTCATTTCTTTGTTGTTGTCGAGGCACTTTGCTGTTTTTTTTGTATTATGGATTTTTCTTTGCTCTCTTGCTCACTTTAGTGGAGGGGGCCTGTTTATAAATGACGTATGGTATATAAACATTTAATGGCATGCAAGCAGAAACGGTACAGAATTGATTAAACTGTCTTTAATAATTTTTGATCAATTTTGATAATATTGATCAGTTTCAAACCATATCTGACCTATCCAGGTAGGAGGTCCCTGCAGACTCCTCAAATGGGAGTTGAAAAATTAGGAATTGCTGTTCTTAAAAGTTCTATTAGCACCCCTGACACAAAATCAACGTAAAGGAACCTTAATTAGAATGTGTGACGGAACTTGGAAGCTTTGTTGGCAAAATCTGATTCAACTCTGGTCTACGACTAGCTTAGAAATTAAATTAATCGCCAGTCAATCTTCTATACACCCGCAAGACACCCCTACATGTTGAAAGAAGTTAATAAGTTATTTTTAGACTAGGATTGTCCCTTCTTTCTGCACAAATGGGATATTTCAGATGATCATTGGATATTCATTAACCTCCCTAGGGCTGCAGAACTGATCAAAAATCGCATTTGACCCTCCAAAAGTATCAAAATTTAAACCACATTCAATTTTTTTTCCAGAGAATCTTGCATTGCTTTAGGATATCAAATCAACAAAGGATCACATACGATGACATCACATGTGAATGTCCCCTGCTTATTTTTTTGGGTCTCTTTTTTCAGCTCCATATAGCTTCTGTTTAAATGTGTCGTTTTGTTATAAAGAAAATTCAATCTAAATGCGACCATTATGCATGTTCTTTCGTTCTTCTTTACTTGCTTGCCGCTTTATTGATATTTTTTTCTGTTCCTCTTCTTCATAAAAATATCGAGGAAAATGCATGTAAAATATAATCATATATAAATTCATTTTTATGTTGAACAACACATTGTTGTAGTCACATTATCATCATCTTTTTTTTTATATTCCATTCTGTGTTTATTCTTTCCGTTTTACGATCACCGATTGAAATTAAACGTGGTGCTCGCATGGTTACGCTTTTAAATAAGTAATACAAGTAGCATCAACGTGAGCCCTTAAGTCTTGTTCTTTCAAACCATTAATCATAATTTATTACTCAATTACTGACAAGAATGGTAAATTGATATTATTTTTCTGCATCAAGTGCTAGCACATCAAGTGGGTATAATGATTCTGTTTATGCTTTAAATGTTAATTTGATTTGCTTGCTGGTATCACATGGATATCCATGGATAATGGGGATTAAGAACTGCGTATGAATTTTTTTATTGCATGTTTTCATTGAAATGATCAAAAGCAGTGCGTTTTGTGTCTCAACAATATTAAAGTTGAGTAAGGATGAAGATTATGAGTCATTTTGTTATGAATTTTTTCAAAAGCTAAGTGCATTTTGTGAAGCTATTCAGGGATATTTGTGGGGATTTTTGAGCTATTCATATTTGGATTCAGGGATCATAACTGATGCAAGACTAGATTAATTTGACTTTTCTAAGCTTTAAAATACCAAATAAATTCACAGCATTTAGTTAAAAAATAACAACAAACATTTATATCCATCTATTATATAAAATACATAAGTTTTTAATGAACAAGCCAGCACAGCAAAAAGAAAGTTCTTTTGTAAGAATTGAAAGCATATAAAAGATTTATGAGGAGATTTTTTTACTGAACAAAAAAACAAAGAACTAAGGAACGATCAGCTAAAAATATACGCAACACACGGTAGAAACATGAAACACAATAAAATTTACATAATTCACAATTACATCGAAGTTGTTAAAACATAAATTTGCACAGGCCACAGTATTTATTTAAATGCCTTCTTATTCCTTCTCTTTTGCGCGACTTTTTATTGTTGAGGGCTTTTTATTTTGCCCAGATAATACCGTTCCCTGTGTATCTTATCAATGGATAATTTTTTTTCATCGTTTGTTCATTCTTTCCTTTACCTTTGTGCCTTTTCGGATTCTCCAATATGCATTGAAACCGATAACAATTACAATTTTTTTTTTGTTGCATTTGTTTGTTTTTTATTTGCCGTTCATAATACTACTTGCTACTGTTTTTCAGTGCTGGTTATGGGATGAGATCTTTTGAATTATGATGTATTTTGTCTGGATGTCTCTTGTTGATCTTGGAGAATCGAGAATTGATGGCAAATGTAAAGAAAAGTAATTAAAATCAACATCCAGAAAGATCAAGAAACATCCAGGAACTGTCGTGAGAAGCTTAAGTAAGTTCCTAAAGGGTTTGAAGGTTTTTCTTAGCTTTGATTGAAATCAATATTGTCAAAACTGAGAGTCTTCCATTTGGATCAATTTTGCTCAAGACATTCTCAAAAGAATTAAAAAGCTCAGCCAGAATCGCAATTTATTGCTTGAAAATTCCAGTATGTTCTCTGAATAAACCAAAAAATTTCTCAAAGCTTAAATTCCCTGCAAAGAAATGCTTCATAATCCCAAAAACCTAAACAATCACAAACTCACAGCTTTCAGCACTGCATTCTTAACTTTATTCTTTCAATGAATGAATGGGAATTTTATAAATTATCTGGAATATAGTATAGCGAATATATATGTACACAAAAAAAGTATAATGGAACAAGTATTTATATCTCAAAGGAAATTGTGAGCTTCTTTATTGTGTGTCGTTGCTTTTGTGATCATGCATGAACTTCCATTTTCATAATACACATTTATGTATCTTGGGGTCAAGTCAATGTTTGATAATTTTTTAATGATTTTAACTTAATTTCTACCTTTACAGCTGCTATTTCCTATCGATTTTGACTTGAGTGACTTTCTGTAAAGAACAGAGAAATTGGACGGTAAAAAAATTACTGCAATTAAACTTCTTCACATCACACAACATTTGTAGAAGTAATTAGTTTTAAGTGCATTCAATCAAAACAACAACAACATTTTTTGTAGCATCATCACTCAATTGGTACTTCATCTACATCAAATAATGATTGACGGCACTGTCTAAGCCAAAAGTTCTAATTATAAAAAGGATCCAAATATTTTTAATCAAAATAAATAATAATGAAGATTTAAGGACCGTATGCATAACTATTGGATTCTTTTTGGTGAGTATTCTATAAAGTTGAACTTCTTTGTTGTCTTTTTCCAAAATGTCGAGTTACTGGATTACAAATTAAATGAAAAGATTTATCAATTATGAAGCAGAAGTTTGTTGGAAAAACAATTCAAATCTGATTAGTATCAGATCTAAAAGGATAGTCTTGTATTAAGGATTATGATTTGACCTTTATCCTTAACTTATTATCATTGTTCAAAACCTAAACATGCAATCGAATGATTCAACAAATAACAGAACATGTAGTCGACTGATCAAAATAAAAACTTTACAGCTATAAATTCATTTGTTTGTTGATCCAATTTGCACCCGAGTTAATTGGAAAAGATACTTACACTGTCAATATCTTCAAGAAAAAAGAGACTTGTGTTAAAAATCATCAAAAGACAAAAGAGCTGATTTTTGAAGACTGTTTACAGTTCAGCAGCTTACTTACTTACCAAATCACAACATGGGTCGAATTTTTATGCTCAATTTAAAAATTCAATTGTGCATTAATTTGATATTAAATTAAATGTTTTTGCGTTTCACAACATTATCGAGAATGTTATCAATTCTATGTGGAGGTCTCCAAAAGTTGATGTTAAAAAAATTTTATCGATCGTGCATGGACAATGTCGTTGGCTTCCAGTCGAGAGAGAGAGTTAATTAAATATGAGGAAAAAAAATAATAAATTTTTACGCATGAAAAACAGAGAAAAAATATTCCAAAAATTTGTTATACAGCACAAGAAATTCAACTGCGTGGCAGGAGACGAAATGGCAAATAAAGAAAGAAAAATAAAAAATATTAAATTGATGCTGTTGATGACCAAACTGCTTGTGACTTGTACAATTGCACACATCGAGAAGTCAAGATCGATCGTCAAAATGAGGCAAAACATGTCAATCAAGATCACAATTTTAATTTTACTTGGTGGATTTTCAATTTTACTTTTTTCCGTACGAGGAATCTCGCTGAGCTCTCATTCTTCTCCCTGTCTCTCTTCCTTTTCAGTTGAAAATTATTATTTCACAAAAATCTGACTGCAAATGTTAAACTTTATTTCGTGGATTTTATTGATATGGAGTTAAGGTGCTGTCCCTACTCTGACTGACTGAATTACACGATCTACCAATTTTCTTGGCAATCATGCCTTACTTGTCGTTTTCTAGGTCATTATAAGGTAAACATTATGCGGTATTCAAGATAATATACTCAATGATGGACTAGTGACACAATAGAAAGGCTTTTTTAAGTCTAAGTAGCTTGAAACACCAAAATAAAGGCTACTCTTCTAGTCTAAAAGAAAATGTTAAATCCAGTGATAGATTGGTCCTAGACCATTCACTAATGCAATTGTAAACTTCAACCAGCCTTCTGTACCTCAAAAATTGCGCTTCCTTTCAATCTAAAAGTGACAACATTCAAACTACTTTCATCTTTTCCCTTCAAGTCAGTCACATTGCAGTGCGCGCATCAACAAACACAATTCATGGGAGATCTAAAAATGGTAAACGAACTGAGAAGAGAGAAATGAAATATAACGACATCGATGCATCGACATAAAATTAAAAAGAAATAAAATGCAACACATTTTTATATTCTTTTTGCAGGCAGGCAGCAGCCAGCTAGCAGAGAGAAAAAAAGATTCTTTTTTAACGCGCTTAACTTTTGCGTTCCTTTCCATCTCATGTACATACTCTGTACAATTGCAATATTGTCTGATGATTATTGCCTTGCATAATGTCAATAATATCGATCGGGTAACTCGCACTATTGCTTTGGTCTGCTGCTGTTGTTGTTGCTACAAAGAAGAATAAGTTATTGAAGAGAGAACAGAGCAGCACAAAAAAAAATGTTTAATAACATTATATTAGGACTGAAAATGTAGCAACTTAAGGAGGCGAAAAAGAAGAGGAGAAAAAATGGTTGCAAGTTTGAGGAACTGATGTGGATTGGGTTTGTGGACGCATTTTTTTGGCGCAGCACGTTTGTTTTGCTTAATTCAACTGAATTTAGTTTTTCTTTGCTGAATTCAGAATGATTTTAGCTGAATTCAGCACGACTTTCACTGAATTCAGTACGACTTTTGTTGAATTCAGCATAACTTTAGCTGAGCTTAGCTTGATTCAGTTGCGCTTTTTGCTGATGATTCCATTCAACTTTTTTCATACTCCCAAACTTGACTGATCCTCACAATCGCACAAATAGATACCCAGTCACCCAAAATAACATCCCATACCCTACAATTCAGCTAAAAGGTGAACAAAAAATTAAAAATGGCATAAACAACATTTTGTGAGCTATAAAAAGCTGAGTAAAGCGAGAAATGCAATGAACAAAAAAGAGGTAAGAAATGAACAACATAAATGCAGCATAAGACCATCCTCGAAAAGTCGTCGTGCAGTCTAGATTTTGGATTTTGTTGCAGTAAAAGGAATGAAAGAAAGAATTAAAAAAATGTTCTCGTGTGTGATGAATGATGAAGCGATTATCATGGACTTTTGGCTTCGTGTGATAGATGGATGCTGATTTTCCGGTAGCGGCTGATTGTACACTACATTTTAACATTTCCATTTCCGATCTTAAATCTCTTTTATCTGACGCATTTTTGAAATGACTGCCACATGTTTCGTTATTCCATTAATTCTGTTCCATAAAGGCAGAATTTGAAGAATTTTCCAATGGAATTTCCATCAATTCGACATTAAATTGTACAATCAGAATGAATTGACCATTAATGTGTCAAAAAGTTGTCTAATAAATGAACTTTCATGCATATACATTTTTTTTATTGGTCAATTTGAATGACAATTTACAACAAATTGTGTATTGCATTTCGCTTGAAAAGATTTATTTTATCGCGTACCGACTGTGATTTTTTAGTTTACAAAAAAGCTGCATTGCTTGCATTTTGGGTGTCAGGAAGAATTATATATTGAAAATTAACGGTTGAATTTTTTTTGTACTTAGTTTTCAAATTTAAATTGAACGTTAATTTTCAAAAAAAGTTTTGACAGTTTAAATTTCTACATAAAAAGCGTTACATTTTTAACATTACTGATCACATCTGTGCAATAATTCTTCCTCCTTACCATCTCATTCATTCAATTTCGATTAAAAAAAAAACTCGATTATTTTGGATTTTGGAAAAATATAAATAAAGTTAATTTTAATGCATCCATTTTGGGTCGAAACATTCAATTGACTAATTTTTTTGCTTTATTATGTTCCTTTAACATCATTTGTAGGGGATTGTAAGCGAGATGAATGGAGGAATAATGAGATGAAATTGATCATCAATCGGAATGAGCAGCTTGAAAAGCAGATTTTTGGCTTAATTATACTTTTTTAATTTAATCGAATTCTGGGAATGTAAGTTGATAGCTTTATGATATTCTTGTGATTATTATTAATGTTCTATTTTTCTTTCAGGTTCTATGAGTACTTCTAGTGGACGATTTATTGAAAAAAAATTATATTAACAATTTAGTTAAGATCTAGTTTGTAGTTCAGAATTTGGTCTATAATCAAATTTTCTTGTAGTCGAGTAGAATTTTTTAAGATATTTTTTTTTTATTTTAATAATTATTTTTGAATAATAACAGAAATAATTCGAATCAAAATTACAGAATTGAATTTTTAAAACTGTTGAAGGGTTCTGAAGCACAAAATTCAAACAATTGTATGGTTTTAAGAATGAATTGAAATTTGAAAGATATTTGGAACCATAAATTCTTTTTAAAACAGTACAACAGTAAAGAATTAATGAATGATATGAAATAAAGGTCGAACTTTAAAATAAAAACTCTGGATGCAGATTTGAATCAATTTGATATATTTGAATGTCAACTTGTTCTTAATGTTTCCAAAATTAGGTAACCGATCAAATTTGCAATACATAAATACTATGGAAATATAGACAATAATTCAAATAAAATAAATTTTCAGTCCTATAGAACAACCTTAAAGTTTCAGTTGTAGATATTATCCCTGTAGATTTTATAAGATATGAATAAACAATCAATATGTAAATGTAAAATCTTGTGGCAAAAAATTGATAATAAAAATTGTAAAAAATAAATCACAATAATGTGTTTGAATGTCAACACTTCCGAAGACAGAATGGATAATTAAAAATTCAATAGAAATATACGGGAAATTGGAAATTACTATAAACGTGTTGCGTGATGAGCATTTTAATATTCATAAAAAAAATCTTACCACTCATCAAAATAATCATAATTTTAATATCTTTTTATTCTATGCACTTCGTAAATATTTAATTAAAAGAAGCACCTGGAAATGAGAATTTATGCCTGCAATTTTTAATTGACAATTTTAATATTAAATTATGAAAATAAAAATAAATTCATTGTGCAGTTTTTTTTTTCATTCAATATAAAAAACAATAAATATAATTTATTTCAAATTACATTAATAAAAATCAATGGATGTTTACTAAATATGGGAAGGAATAAAGTTATAGACAGAGAATCAATTAATCTAGTTAAAAGATTTTTTTTTAAAATGATTCAAATATATTTTGCTAATATAATTAAAAATGCGTCATTCGGTGGATTAAATAATTGTGTTCCTAGTTCGAACACATGTTAAATTATTTTAGTGAAATTAGAGAGCTTTGCTCGAGTTTTGATTAAGTTATTAAAGGTATGGAGCCAGCCAAAAGAAAAAAAAAATAGTTTAGACCGATTAAAGCGCATTTTTCAGTCAAACCTCTTGAAAACTTCAACGGTTGAAAAAAATTCAATTTATTTTCGAATTCAAAAATAATTTTATCGTTGAAATTCAAAATAAATTTGACAGTTGATTTTTTACTGAAGAATTCGTAAAATGCACCTCAAAAGCACCACCTAATTTCAAAATTAATTACAGCTTCGTCTCATGTCGATTGTACGGATTATGAGCATAAACCCTCGATCGATTTTGTCTTGCAGGACTCTCTTGATTCGATTCCATATCATAAGGATTGTCAATGCATCCATTAATTAAGTCCAGATTATTAACTTGATTAACTCTCATATTATAAGCACTTTGATACTGCTGCTGGGTGATTATATTAGGACTCATGTTGGTGAATGGAGAATGAATTCGATTTTTGTTCAAATTATTTGTTCGTCGATTTCTCATTCTTTGGCTAACAGGCATTTTACGTGAATCGTCATCGTTATCTTCATTATCATCGCAACTGTCAACGTCGCCTATGAATGAATAAACAGAAAGTTTTTATGAGACACTCAAGTTGATTTTTTATATATTTTAATTTATATGTGATTTACCATCACTGCTGTTTGTACTTGCAACAAAATGCTCATTCTTTATTATCTTTCGGCCTTGTCGATTGAATTTAAATTCTCTGGGCAGTGTGTATGATCTCGGCAATGACATCTGTTGAAATATGCGAATTTAACGAATTTAATGAATATTTAAATCATAAGTCTATAAATTATACGAAATTATTTACCTGGCTATCAATATCTGAGGCGACATTCGGTGATTCACACTCATCATCCATATGAATTGCTCTTTCGTATCCAACGCCGTTTGTGCTTGTAAAGTTGTTTGTATTGTTGCGAAAATCACTGCAAAATTATTTCAAGGTTGAAAGGTTAACGGTTTATGAGAATTTAAATTTAAACGGTTTTAAAAAATTTGAAAATTTACTAGCGATAAAAATTTAAATGTTTCGAAACCGTTAGGCATACATACCTGATGTAATTATTCGAATTATCATTAATTCCATTTCGAACAGGAACTGTCGGAATGTGCTGATAATAATGAGAATTTCCATCAAGATGACTAGGAGTCAGTAAAATTTCAGGTGTATTCCCTCGAGCCATTTGTCTCTTAATAAGCTGCGATGCTAAGCTCTTCTCCTTTTCAATACTATTCGTATTTACATTACTATTACTATTACTTCCACTATTCTCATTTTTACTATTTGAGGAACGATTTGTATCTGTTTTCTTTCCCTCTAAGCTATTATAGGCACTCTGTCGATGATCATAATGACAATTTGGACTGCCTATTCGACTGCTCGGACTGGCTCGTGCCTGAACATTTAAATTATTTGTTAAATTATGATGAAGTATTTTCTTTCGTGTCGACACAATTTGTCGTGTTAAGGAATTATTTTCATTCTCAGATGTTGTGCTGGTCATTGTCGATGACGCTGATTGTTGCTTATTACTTAAACTATTATTGCTATTATTATTGGCACTTTCACCTATATTTGTAAGAATCTCATGTGAAAACTTTGTTAATGCGGCTGCAATGCTTCCGTTATTGCTTGAAAAATTATTATACATGATTGCCGTACTTTCACTCTTTTGTTGTAGCTGATACAAAAGAATATTCATATTGTCTGTCTCAGAGCATGAAGAATTACGTCTAAAATCGATTGTTTCGATATCAATGTGCTTCTTTGATCTTGGCGCTGGTAATCGAGGTAAAATGTTTCCCCCTTCATCATTTTCACAAGAATCATGCGTCATTTTACTCGAACGACCAAGTTTTCCTTGCTTTATCTCTTCCTCAATTATCTTTAATTCTGCCAATTGCTTTTGCTTCTTTTCTTGCAATTTCAACTGAATATTAATTCTTGACGACGCGACACTTCCTTCAGTCTCACTCGATCCACCTGCTATGCTATTTCTTGGAAGTGGTTGGCGCCAAAATGGTATAATTGACATTGGTCCACCCATATTGATTTGTGGTTGTAATGCTGGATTTGTTGTTTGCTTTACATTCTCATTTATACTTATACTATTCATATTTCCTTGTAAATTAAGGTTTGGTGGTGGAATAAAGCTTGTTGGCTTCTTCTTTTTGCGTTTTGTTGCATTACTACGGTTTAAGAAATTTTAAATGAAATATTAAACGGAAATTTAAAATTTGAATTTAAAATTTGAATTTAAAACAATACAAATGTTTTTGAATCATTTGGCTTTTACATGGTTTTAATTTTTGAATTTTAAAAACCGTTAATTAATAAAAACATTTGTGAGGTTCTAATATTCAAGTAAATTCAATTAAAAAACAAGCTTACTGCACAGGATTAGAGAATTTACAGTTGAAAATGCCTTTAAGATGCTCATTCGTCGGTGCATGATGATGATGTCTACCTTTATTGTCCTCACAATTTTCTCTATCCTTTTTATGATGAAAATTAGTTTCACATGAAAATATGCTTGAATAATTAGACTTTGAGTCGCTACATCGACAGACATTCGAGTACGACAGACATTTATCAAATTTATCAGTTCCATCGTCATTTTCATAACCAAGCCGCCGTATGTGGAAGTACTTGTAATAAATTATCATAATTAAAATCCCACCAAAAAATGTTCCGAGAACATAGAGTGGAATTGAATACCAATTTTCAGTTCTTTCGGGCCAAATACCGACCATCCAAAGTGACACTAATAGACAATTTTCAAGGAACATTACAATATAGAAAATCATCATTTTCTGTCGGTGATTAGCTTCTTGTAGATTAATGTATGCAAAGATATAAATAAATGCGACTAGCCCACTTAAAAGAATCTTCTTAATCCTCGAGATTTGTTCTCCATGAAATGCATTTTTAGGAGATATAAGCCACAGGAACATTGATATCCAATGAAGAATAATTACGAGGAAAATCCACTTTTTATAAACGGATGCATAAGCTGTTAAAGATAAAACTCGTGACGTGATTGTTCCTAGTCTCCAGAAAAATTGAAAAATAACTCCTAGCCATGTTAGAACTAATCGATGAACGTTATGCTTGCTAACATTCTTACTAAAACTTGCTAAAGCCCATGCGACACTAAAAAGTGACAGAAATGCAGAAATTGTATTTAAATCCTTGAATGTTTTCTGCCTATACTGTTGCACTATCGTAGATTGTTGCACTAAATGAGTTGATAGCTGTCCACCAAGTGTCTTAATCTTAATAGAATTAATACTATTATCTTCATTCGTCTGCAATGTCATTAGGATATAACATTGCAAAATTAACATTGGTGCTGCTTCACAGAAAGCATGAATCAGTCTTAAAATACATAAATCTCTAACTTCGTGCTTAACATATCTTAAATCGACTGGCACAAAAAGTTTGGCATATCGCCAAATAACACCCAATTGTCCCACGTGCAGCCCAATAACGGAATATTTCATTATTTTTGATTTTGGACATTGCTCGTCCTCGTCCTCGTCCTCTTCATTTATCGTCTCTTGATTATTATTCACTGGTGCATTTAATTTACGACTTCTTAAATACCATTTTAATGACACAATCTACAAGACACAAGGATGTTTAATTAAATCATATGAGCTATGATATAAGAATTATTGGACATACCTGCGATACTATTAATGATCCGGCGATAATGAGTACAACGGCAATAAAGAAATTGATTCGTCCGCGCTCGAGTAGAGCATATCCAAGAACAATATCAAAAACGCAATCACAAAAGTATGCAGCCAGCGAGATTACATTAAATAAATTATCACAGATTGGAAGGAATTCTGCCATGATTATGATGTGCTGCTGGCTATGCTGTACTCTTTTTATTATTTTCTACTTTGTGGCTGTTCTGGTTTACATTATTATTATTATTGTTCCATTTATCAAGGGCCTGACTGACTCAAGATTCCATCAAGTAATTAACAGCGACAATTAAATTGACAATTGGAATTTTTTATGGTACGATTTTGTGTATTATGCTCACGTTGCACAACATGAATCGCTTCCCAGAATGCTCTTTTCTTTGGAAATTTCTTTTAATTTTGCATCGAAAAAAGCTCTTTGCCCACTTATTTTTATTTTAGTTCCTTTCTTCACTCTCGCGTTTCTTTTTCTTTTTTTTCTTTTTGAATATCTTTAAGATATTGCTGCTTGCTGTATGTTGTTGTTGTTGTATCGAATGGAATTTCAAATATTTATCTCGTCATAGTATTAGTAATACTTAACAAAGAATCATAAAATCATCAAATTTTCAACATAATTCATAACTTTACAGCATAATTTGAAATTCTTATTGTTCATGAGTTTCTTATGCACGTTTTAACATCACTTTTAGTCATTTATATCTATGATTTACCACAACATTTTTAAATTATTCTACATAAATTTGTGTTAATTCTTCATGTCAGAATAAAAATGCGATCAGTGACTGTTCGGTCAAGAGAAGTTGTGGATCATAAAAGCATCAACGATCTTTTCATTTTTAAATTCATTCTCAAGACTTGATCACGTACCTTGTTTGAATCTGTTGCACAACGGACATACGAAAGACTTGAATGCATGGACATGTGCTATACTCTTTTATCATGCGAATGATTTGTGATGCATATTTTATGCTTTGCATAATTTAACGATCAATTTTAATTTGAATATTATGTTTAAGTTTTCAGATCTTTTAAATTTCTTTTAGCCGTTAATTGAACATTGAGCCAAACAACAATTTGATGCTGGGTTATAAGTCCAGAAACTATAAGTCCAGAGATTATAAGTCCAGAAAATCAAACTGACTAAAGGTTTATAAGTCCAGATACAAATTGCACCTGGACTTAAAAACCTCACGTGCAGTTTAAAGTCCAGGTACAAAGTCCAGCGTGTGGTTTATAATTCCAGAAAATATAGTAAATTTTACTTATAATCTCCCAGTGCGATTATAAGTCCAGATACATTTTTCTGGACTTATAATCTTTGAAAATTATTTGAAACTTATTTAACTTATTTTAATTTTTTTTAAGGCAATTCTACACATGAATTTTTGAAAACTTCACACAAAGAATTCACATTTGATAATTTTTTTCCTCTAAAGTACCTTATATATCCTTTTAAGCTGCTACATTTCATTATACCCCTTGTTAATAACTTATTAAGATTTTTCATGCCTTACTTACTTACTTACTTCCTTGGCTGGGGCGCACGTGGGCCCATTGCCGCGTTCAGAGATCGTCTAAAGACAGCTCTATCCTTCGAGACTTTCTGCCAGTTCGGGATATTTAGGACTCTAGCGTCCTTATCAACACATCCAATCCAGGTGTTGTTTCATGCCTTAATCAAGGATAAATTTAATTCTTTGGAATAAAAAATTAAAATTGAACTAGTGTATCGGGTAGAAACCCAATGCGAATATATTCACACCGTACCATCAAAAGTCTTATGGAGAGTCCAAGATTTGCTCAGCATAAGTTTGAAGGGTGGGCGTGAATTACGGCCGAGACCCATATCGACACAGTTCAAAAGATATACCTAATTTGTGTCATAATTATGTCAACTACAAAAACACTTAGTTTGAATATTGTCACCCTCGGGAACACTATGAACCAGTATAGCTGATTTTGGTCCAAATCTCGGCCATACTTCACACTTATTTGAACCACATTTTTTCGTAAATGTTAAAATAATATTAAAAAGTAATTAATCCTGAATTATTTCGCTATTTTGTCAAGTGTTTTAAGATAAATTTTTTTTTTTGATTTCGACAGTGAAGAGTTTGAACAAAATTCAGATGGGGTAGTCGAAATTTTAGTTTTCGTTTTTTTTTAAGCTATGCATTACAAAAAGTAATATTGGTATGTGATTTATGTCAGAATTATGTCAATTCAAATAAAACATCCAAAAAAATTTTCTGACCAAAGAGCCAAGTAGAAATACATTTTTAATTATGAACTTGGGACAGGTCTAGTCAAAATCTCGTTTTTCACTTTTTTTCCCTTCGAGGATAAATCCAAATACAGTAAAACTTTGTATGAGCATTCTAATCCTCAGGTCACACATTTCTGAATTAATAAACATCATTTTTTTGGAAAAATTTTAAGTCACGTTGTTTTTATATGTAGAACCAAATTTATAAAATTTGGGTCTCACGGCATATAGAATACATTTCTTGCTTTAGATATTTAAAACTGTTTTGTTTAAATATTAGTATACTCACACAAAGTTTCACTGTATTTGGATAAACCCTCGAAGAAAAAAGTCACAAACTGATTTTGACTAGGGTCGCCCCTAGTCCAAAATTGAAAATGTATTTCCTACTTGGTTTTTTGCTCAAAAAAATTTTAATATGTTTTGTTTGTATTTTTTTAAGCACTAGAATATTTATGCAAAGTTTTAATCCATTTGTATAAACCCTTGCAGAAAAAAGTGACAAAATTGATTTTGACTAGGGTCGCCCCTAGTCCAAAATTGAAAATGTATTTACTACTTGGTTCTTTGCTCAAAAAAATGTTTGGATGTTTTATTTGTATTCGTTTTAAGCACTAGAATATTTGTACAAAGTTTCAATCCATTTGTATAAACCCTTGCAGAAAAAAGTGACAAAATTGATTTTGACTAGGGTCGCCCCTAGTCCAAAATTGAAAATGTATTTCCTACTTGGTTTTTTGCTCAAAAAAATTTAAGGATGTTTTGTTTGTATTCGTTTTAAGCACTAAAATATTTATGCAAAGTTTCAATCCATTTTTATAAACCCTCGAAGAAAAAAGTCACAAACTGATTTTGACTAGGGTCGCCCCTAGTCCAAAATTGAAAATGTATTTCCTACTTGGTTTTTTGCTCAAAAAAATTTTAGGATGTTTTGTTTGTATTTTTTTAAGCACTAGAATATTTATGCAAAGTTTCAATCCATTTGCATAAATCCTCGAAGAAAAAAGTGACAAAATTGATTTTGACTATGGTCGCCCCTAGTCCAAAATTAAAATTGTATTTCCTTCTTGGTTCTTTGCTCAAAAAAATTTTAGGATGTTTTGTTTGTATTTTTTTAAGCACTAGAATATTTATGCAAAGTTTCAATCCATTTGGATAAACCCTCGAAGAAAAAAGTCACAAACTGATTTTGACTAGGGTCGCCCCTAGTCCAAAATTGAAAATGTATTTCCTACTTGGTTTTTTGCTCAAAAAAATTTTAATATGTTTTGTTTGTATTTTTTTAAGCACTAGAATATTTATGCAAAGTTTTAATCCATTTGTATAAACCCTTGCAGAAAAAAGTGACAAAATTGATTTTGACTAGGGTCGCCCCTAGTCCAAAATTGAAAATGTATTTCCTACTTGGTTTTTTGCTCAAAAAAATTTAAGGATGTTTTGTTTGTATTCGTTTTAAGCACTAAAATATTTATGCAAAGTTTCAATCCATTTTTATAAACCCTCGAAGAAAAAAGTGACAAAATTGATTTTGACTAAGGTCGCCCCTAGTCCAAAATTAAAATTGTATTTCCTACTTGGTTCTTTGCTCAAAAAAATGTTTGGATGTTTTGTTTTTATTTGTTTTAAGCACTAGAATATTTATGCAAAGTTTCAATCCATTTGCATAAATCCTCGAAGAAAAAAGTGACAAAATTGATTTTGACTAGGGTCGCCCCTAGTCCAAAATTGAAAATGTATTTCCTACTTGGTTTTTTGCTCAAAAAAATTTCAATATGTTTTGTTTGTATTTTTTTAAGCACTAGAATATTTATGCAAAGTTTTAATCCATTTGTATAAACCCTTGCAGAAAAAAGTGACAAAATTGATTTTGACTAGGGTCGCCCCTAGTCCAAAATTGAAAATGTATTTACTACTTGTTTCTTTGCTCAAAAAAATGTTTGGATGTTTTATTTGTATTCGTTTTAAGCACTAGAATATTTATACAAAGTTTCAATCCAGTTTTATAAACCCTCGAAGAAAAAAGTGACAAAATTGATTTTGACTAGGGTCGCCCTTAGTCCAAAATTGAAAATGTATTTCCTACTTGGTTTTTTGCTCAAAAAAATGTTTGGATGTTTTATTTGTATTCGTTTTAAGCATTAGAATATTTATACAAAGTTTCAATCCATTTTTATAAACCCTCGAAGAAAAAAGTGACAAAATTGATTTTGACTAGGGTCGCCCTTAGTCCAAAATTGAAATTGTATTTCCTACTTGGTTCTTTGCTCAAAAAAATTTTTGGATGTTTTATTTGTATTTTTTCAAGCACTAGAATATTTATGCAAAGTTTTAATCCATTTGTATAAACCCTCGCAGAAAAAAGTGACAAAATTGATTTTGACTAGGGTCGCCCCTAGTCCAAAATTAAAAATGTATTTCCTACTTGGTTCTTTGTTAAAAAAAATGATTGGATGTTTTATTTGTATTTGTTTTAAGCACTAGAATATTTATGCAAAGTTTCAATCCAGTTTTATAAACCCTCGAAGAAAAAAGTGACAAAATTGATTTTGACTAGGGTCGCCCTTAGTCCAAAATTGAAATTGTATTTCCTACTTGGTTCTTTGCTCAAAAAAATGTTTGGATGTTTTATTTGTATTCGTTTTAAGCACTAGAATATTTATACAAAGTTTCAATCCATTTGTATAAACCCTCGAAGAAAAAAGTGACAAAATTGATTTTGACTAGGGTCGCCCTTAGTCCAAAATTGAAATTGTATTTCCTACTTGGTTCTTTGCTCAAAAAATTTTTTGGATGTTTTATTTGTATTTGTTTTAAGCACTCAAATATTTATGCAAAGTTTCAATCCATTTGGATAAACCCTCGAAGAAAAAAGTCAC